GTGCCAAATTCTTCACCTCTCAATGCCCTTTTCTCCAGAGGGGACTTCTTTACAGTGCAAAAGGTAACAAAAGTCCTAAGGTTTTTTTAGCCACTGTAGAAGAAAATCACGGCTTGCCATCAGAACATAGAGAAAGTGTAGGAAAGAAAAGGAATACAAAAAGATCTCAACTATAGGCTGCCTCTTGTTAAAGCAGTCTTTATTTTTTTCTTTAACTTTCTTTGCCCCTCTTATTTTACAGATTGCAAAGCTTTTCAACTTGTTATTAGCAGTCAGAATATCTTACTGTGCTGTTTGCAAATTCTTACTTGGATAGATTTGTAAGTTTAAAAAAAGGTCTTATGTATGTTAAAGCATGTGCTATTCTCCACTTAACTAAGGAGATGAAAAGTCACAATTGTGCTGTGATGTTTTATTAAAATATCAAAAAGCAAGTCATCGGCACAAGCTAATTAAATAATACTTCTTGTCTCCAGATTAGCCTACACACAGTTTTATGTTTACGTTTATATTCTAGCTGCCAAAGAAATCAAACTCAGTATAGTCAGGTATGATCTTCCAGAAAGATTTCCCATCTACAGTTGCTGGAAGCATTTAAAAAAAAGGTAGCCTCACACCTCAGACATTTCGGAAACCTTCAACACATTGGCACAATATCTCCATAGAATTTCAAGGTCCACAAAACGGCAAGTTACAAAAGGCTGACTACTTATTAAAATTGACACATGGAACATGAAGGTGACCATTTTAAGCATTCCTGTTTCCCTTAACTTCACTGATGCTCGGCCCATAGTACTTCCTTGAATGTGTGAATTGTCTAATAGTTCATCAGTGCCCAGGGTCTGTTTCATTTTTTAAAAATTGCCTCTAGCTACATAGGCATTGAGTATTGTGCAATAAGACACAGTCCCATGGATGGCATTTGTAATGCAATCTAATCTGATAATGACTTTGAGTATAACTTCAAAGTTCATTCTATTTTGAGAAGGGATTGGACCAGAGTACCTTCAGAGATGCCTTCCAACTTATTTCTTCTATGATCCTATATTTTCATGCAAATAGTTTTGAAATTAGCAGTATCTTGCCATCAGCACTCCAAATGAACCACTATAATGTTGTTGTTAGCAAATCACCAAAATTTCTTGTGCGTCTCTCTATTTTCTGAGTTAAACTTCATAGGCTATGCCAAAAAAAAGACATTTAAGGTCTTTCCAAATGGTGATTTATTCTTGCTGCAGGTCAATAAAAATGGTGTAGCATATTGTTAGTACAGTAACATTTATATAATAGATTAATAGTAATATAATAGAGTTGTGACTATAACATGATCATAAGTGAACAAAGTGTGTAAATGGTTGAACTTTTGTGCACATGCTTCCTGTATTGTCAGAGGTGAACTTGATTCCATGTTCAAGAAGCTCTTCAAAATGGGACAGTATTACTCTGTGCAGTTAATATATGTGCTGATTCTTTCTGGTGGTATACTATAGGTAAAGGTAAATCAGAATTTGGCAATCCTATTGTCTTAAACTCTTTTTTCTTTTTCTTTTCTTTTTCTTTTTTTTTTTTTCTGGCCTTGTTGGGTGTGCTGGATTTCATAGGAAGATTGCAGCTAGCACCAGCAGTTAGAAGATTATCTATCAGCGCCAAAATGCTTATCCATGAACCCAGCCCACCTGAGAAGTGTGGGGAAGCATTCATATAGCAGTAGTAAGCTGTCTGGTGAGAGCAACCTGCACTGTATATCGTGCAGATGCCTAATAGTTGAGACCAGCTACTCGCATTGATTTAAACGCCTTTGAGCGGGCCTTATGTGAATGGTCTGATGCCACTGCATGACAATTCTGGTGAACTTCTTGCTGTATTTTCCTACCTGCATACATGACAGGGCCTCAGTCGCAGCATTCATTATACCTTTCAGATGCAACTCTCCCAGTCCATTGTTGGCCAGTTCTTAGAGTGGCCATTGTTGGGTGTTCTTAGAGTGTCTGAAAGGCATCCCAGCATGCTACTGAAATATTGGTCTATATAGTAAATAGCTGGAATGTACCGGGGCAGTTCATATATTAATTTCATAGCCTGTCCACAAGTGTAAACGCAGAAAATGAGCAGCATAAAAGGCTGGCAAAGCTACACTCTGTGGTGCACTAAATGACTTCCACTGGCAGGACTATTAATTGTCCCACAAAAAAGTAAATTCTGCAATTGAAATATTCCTGACTGGGTTGGATTTAGCACCAGGAATCTAAAAGCCGAGGATTAGTGAGCACAACGTAGAAACGTGTAACTGATGGTTGATGGGATCAGCAATGTGGACAGCAGAATTGGGCATGTGCATACTTTAGCACCCTTGCAGATGGGGAGCAAAAAGGATTATCAAGATGAAGATACAACCTGATTGGAGTAACTAGAGGGAGTAACTAGGAAGAGAGCATTGTCAAAGGTAACATAGTGGATAGATCTGAAAAACATGGCAAAAAAGAGTGGAGTTTCCAGTGACAGAAAAGAGGTAGAAATGTGACTTCTTTTCTAACTATGTTACATTTAGCCTTCTCAAAGCCTGCGATTCTTTCCAATTCATATTACTTAGTTTTCTGAAGGAAATAAAAAGCTATGCACTTATGTTCTGTTTCTTAAAATCGTACTGGCTTACTACAATACTAATATAGACTATATTGTTGTACATTGTGTCATAATTCTTCACATTCTTAGTTTTTAGCCATCAGTCCTGTACTGTTATAATTATATTATTAGAGGACACCAAAGGATCTCCTTATTAAAGTCTGGAGAGGAAGACACATCTGTGCCCTAGTAAGTTTCAGGGTAGGTTGAGATACGGTGGAGTAAAATAGTTTCATGACTATGATTAGGGATTTTTGAGTAGGGAGGTTTGTTAGGAATATTTTTACATATTGATTGTGAAGGAATTGTATCCTGAGAATTCTTCCTGGTATATGCCGTACTTTATTTTCAGTTATACATGTGTCTGTGTCTGTTTTTGTTGCTACATGCCTACAAGGCATCATAGATGGATTAGTTCTGTATCTTCCACCTTGGCCCTGAATCTAACAGTCAGTCCTAAAGTTGGGACTACAGCAATGTAATTTTCTCCCTTTGCTCAAAAATCTTCGTGTTGCATTACTGATTTGGTGCGGGAGGGATTTATAAAAATTGGTTTGCCTTGAATTCAAAATGAATGCATAGTTCATTCTTGGAGACTCATGCAATTTAAGAAACTGTCCTCACAGTATGAAGATCAGATTTTTTTTAAAGGTTTTAATTGATCACTTTTTATAAAGCATGCTATGTAAAATAAAAACATGAAAAAAGGTGACCGAGGTGAATCTTTTAACTCTTGTTTATATTACCATATTAGGTTTGGCATTTATGTTTCACTTACCATAGCTTCGTGTGGTTACAATAATCTCTCAAGACAAAAAATTACTGCCAGTACGAGAGTATACACTTATTGACGGCTTGCATCATCCCCTGAATTTAAAACTCTGTACTGCGAATATGGAGCACAGTAAAATACATTATCTGGGTAGCTAGTCAACCTAAGTCATTCCTAGTGAAATTCTTTGAAATTTATACTAGCTATTTATGTTTAGAACTACATATCTTAAGAAAGACCTTATGTTGCAGCACATTTATGCATGTAGAAAGATGCATTTACAAAAAAAATCTCTTTTAGTGAAGCAAAGATCTTTCATTTTGATTTTGATGTCTTTATGCTATAGCATATTTTATAAAGTATAAAATAAAGTACTTTAAAATCATTTAACACAATGTTAGTGCAATTTGATGTTACTGAAACATGCTTGTTTTGATAAATTAGCTCATTTCTGAGGAAAGTTTGGTTTGCAACAGCAGCATTTTCTGAGGTTATAAACATTCTCAGAAATCTTTTAAACAAGTTAACTTGATAATTATGTGCTTATATAGCAGCCCCTATTTGTGAAACTTCTCTCTATTTGAAAGGAAATTAAATATATTGGTGGTCATGAATGGGGATACCCGGTAAGAATGAAATGTTTAAAAGAAAGGATGTAACTCAGAGGTTTTGACCATTATGTTTCACCAGAAAATAATTCTTTTGAATTTTTCCAATATAGTATCATTTTTATTCACAAACTGATTCTCTTCTGGGAGGTCTACACCCTGATTCCTACTAGAAGTAAATCAATATAGTTCAGTTGACTTCCGTGAAAGTATATCGCTCCAAGCCAGCTATGAATCTGGTCCATCTCTTCCGTTAAAATTAATGGAAGAAAGATGTGTCCAAATAACAAAGAATACTTTGAATCTATATTTTCTTGAATTATGCCAAAACAATGCTTTTAATAGCATATATCTTTTTATATGTGATGTATGTATTTGAATATTAAATGTGCTGAATGGCCTAAATGTAAACTGTGATTAATTATTCCCATATGAGCCCAGTCTGTTTCCAAGCTATTGGTTAGTGTATTACAGAAGACTATTTTCAACAAGGAGTTGGCATCCTCTTGAAAACTGGATTTGGATGTGGCAGTGAGAAGGAATGCCACAGAAATAAGAAAGTTAATCAACTTAAGCCAAAAGTCATGGCTCAAATGAGTCTAGGACTCCACATTCTTAAAAAAATAAATAGCTTTATCAGTATTAATGTCTTCTGGTGCTAACCAGCAGTGTAAAGCACAGAAATGTTTCAGAAAATCTTTACTTTTACTATTTACCATTTCTACAGTTCACAAAATGCAAATAACGTGATCCTATTTTCCATTAACTTTATAAAGGGAGAACCTACAACATGTACTTGAGTTGAGCAGTCCCTTAGTCCACGGGTGTCCTATGAATAAGGTTGTCAGATCTGGTGTTGTATCTCTGGGCATTTCTAGGGAATTTTATATTTTCCTAGTCTTTTCAGGGAAAATAGAAGGTGATATGAAATACTTCTATTCACATTGACTTTCACAAAGTAGGTCTAAAAAATAGTTTTTTTTTTTTTCCTTTTGCAGATTTTGTTTAGGTGCTAAGCAAATTAAAAGTAATGCTTACCTGGATTTTAGAATAACATATGGACTGAAGTGTCTCTTTGTTATGGGGCCATCAAACAGACGGTGAATGAGGTAAGACTGTTTTTAACTGTTTTGCTGCAGATAACACTGCCCTGTATGACCGAAAATAAGGGAATTCAAATACTGCATAAGAGTCTGTTACTTCACATTTTCAGAACTTTTCTTCATAGATGTGGCCTGAACTCTTGGACATGTCTTTTCCTTCTACCCTTGGTTGTCAGGCTTCTGGCACAGTGAATTGTGGATCATGTCCATACAGATATTCCTATTGTCTCTGAAGAATGCATTTTGCATATTGTTTTAGATGCTTTTAGACTAAGTTCATTCCTTTTGCTCTTATTATGACCATAAGATTTATTGCTCTTCACTGGATGTGAAACTCCTTTCTGGTGGAGATGGATGGCAATTGTAAAAGACTTGGATCCTCTGGAGAGAGTAATCTGCTCACCTAAATATCTTTACTTTCAGCCTCTATCACCCTCACGTTTTAAGATACCCATAGTTATAAAACTCCTTTAATTTAACTGCAAGCAAGAAATAAGGTCAAGGTTTTCCCTCTGTGGAACAATTTCTGGACTGCTGCTTTTTATGGAAACCGTAGCCCTTTCTTTGCAGAACTGATGAACTGAGATCCAGGAGAAGCATCAGTTTATATTCTGAGTTAGCTCTGTTTAGCTTGCAAGAATGCTTCAGTGCATGAATACTATTGAAAACATATATTTTCCACCAAAACCTGCTCTATTTCATATCATGCTGTAGAGAGTATATTTATCACTGTGGAATATTGGTATGTGTATGCAAAATGTTAATGCTGAAACACACTATCAGAAGTGACTAGTCTGAGTCTGTCCACTGTGTGCAGCCCAGGAATGATCTGTTAGTGCATTCACTGTATCTATGTATACATTATGCGTGACGTTTTCTATGCATAGTTTTAGGTTTGTAGTATTTGCTAATCCTGCAGACTTTCAGGAGGCCATGGGTTGTTGGGATACTCCAGTGTGAACCCAGGTAGCATCTCAGGGTAGATTCACACGGATTTTGTAGCTACTTTCATGGAGCCTGGCGAGAGGAGCAGTAGCAGCAGAGGAAAGGGTTTGGAGCCAACATCAGGAGATCAGTCTGTGAGCATATGATAAGTGTATAGCATACCTGCACTTTAATCTCTTAATGAAAAAGTCCTGCATGTTTAGAAGTGGGGTTTTCACAACAGTTAATTTAGCCTTGGGGTTTTCGATTCCTAAGCCACCCCGGGCTCGGCATAGAGAGAGGCTCCAGCAGCAAATATTTCAAAGCCGTAGCCAGGAGATGTTGCATAAGCAGGTTAGCCCCTGAGGCCAAAGATGGCCTTTGTCTGTACCCTCCACTATGGCTTTCATATTTTTACTCAAACCTATGATATATGAAACTGTATTCAGCTGCTTTGGGAGCTGACTAGACGTGTTGGAGAAGCTAGAAATGAATACCCAATTAACATGTTTGTTTCTGAGAGCTGGTGTATTATAGTGAAAGACTCAGAGCCTGCCATGTATCCCATAATTAAAGAGCCAAAAAAAAAAAGAGAGAAAATGAAAAGCCAGTCTACAAGAATGTCACAATATTTGAATGCTGTTATTTTATTAAATTAAAAATATAGAAAAACGTTAGCTCTTTTTACTTTTCAGAAAGCATTTTTCATTCAAAGGAAGACAATTTGAGGAACTAAATAAGTCAACTGTCATCTTGGTAACTCTGCATACTTATTCCTGGTTTGACTGTATTTTTAGCTGAGCAAATCTGAGAAGCTGAAGTTTTTCGCTAGCATTGATATGTTTGAATCTGTCAGGAATGGCCTGACACTTATCAGTTCTCCATATCTCCAGGCAATTTGGAGCTTTCTCATTTGAGATTTGCATGTGTTACTAGCTATTATATCGCAGTGCTTTAAGAGGAATTTCCAGGGCCCTACATCCTTTCTCTGCGCATCGCACGGAGGTCTGCGTACAATGACTATTTACCTCTGGCAGCCATAGAGGAGGTCGCTTCTTTGCGAAAGAAGAAATCCTGTGTTCTGGTCCCTATTCCCCATGCTCTGAGTTACTTCATCTTTTCCTTTGTGGCTACAGAAGATAGCCCTTTCTGAGACCATTGTGTGCTTGTGAGCCAGGAGGACTTGCTCCATCCTGGCTGTCCGTGTCTGCAGAAGGAGCAGCAGTAGCACAAGACTTCTGGTAACAGAGGTACCTCTGAGCGGGGCAGTCTGGGGACATCTTCAGTGAACCCACAGCACAACACATGTTCCTAGAAAGAAATAGAAAAGGTAAACGGAGAGGTAAAAGGTCAAGTTCAAGCTGCTTTATATACCAAATGATTCCAAAACTTGGGTAGTGTTATTCATAGCTCATCTTTTATGAATGAGCAAAGGCCTCTTAACTCTTATCAAGATCATTTGATTAAGGAAAGCATATATATTTTTTCTGGCGTATAGCTTTTAATTTTAAGCACAAATGAATGCTGACCTATGTTAGAATACACATGCTCTTTTCCATCCACTTGCATCATCACTAGGCCACATGTACTTTTCCACATCCGTCAGCTAAATTAGACATTCCTATGTAAAATGTAGCACTCAGGAGCATTCTTTGAATTTGTGGCACTTTTTTGGGTTGACTTGAAACTGCAGATCAACAAAAAGACTTCCTTTATAATTTTTTCCTCAGTTACAGAGCGTATATGAAATTTCCAGTGAAACTTTCAGTGAAATTTTATTTTATTAATAAAACAGGGGGACATAGTATTTCACCAGTTATTTTCATGCAAGACAGAGTTTAACCAGCTATTTTTATGCGTGACAACCTTGCAAATGTTCTTCATGTTTATTTAGCCAGATGTTGACATTTCTAAAGACGAGAATATCTCTCTAAACACAAACAGAATGTGAAATCTGACATCTCTAAAACGTCATACTTCAGGGCTGAGAAACATGGGTGATTTTTTTCCATTTATTTTACGTCATTTTAATTCTATGTTTACACTATAGGAATGGCCTATAAAAAAGAAAGAAAAGTATCTATAATTAGATCTATGATATATACATGTAAAAGAGGGGTGATACATGCATATTTTGGCTATCCTAGTATATAAAATAAATACGATATCAAAGTTTTGCCATATTTCGGGAGATTGTTGTGTACATTTTTAAACCCCTGTAACCTACCCCACTGTAAAAAGACATGCATTTTATAACATTACAGCAAAGCTCAAGGGAGCAATGAGTACACATCAAATGTATTGTATAATCTGTTAGCATAGAAACTGTATTTTGGGGAGGTGAGAGCCTACACTAAGAAATCCACATGTACACTTTACCTCTTAGAAGATCTCTTCTAAGGTCTGCATATAGAGGAATATGCAATACTTTACCAACAAGAAACATGGAAATAATAATAAAAAATGTTACGACAAATGTATTTGTGATATAACTCAGCTAGGAGTTGTACTATGGTGCCTATAAGTTTCTAGCACTGCCAGTATCTTTCAGCTTATCTTCTTGTCTTACTTCCTGAAAAGAATTCTTACCGGTGAAAATGACTGACATGAAAATGTTAATTTCTTTCAATATTTTTCATAAAATTTAAATGTATTTGCTCCCTACCAAGCTGAAAGCGCAATCTAGCAATCAAAGCTAACATAACACAAGTGCTAGGTGACACCCTGACAACTGGGAAGTCAATGGGATAATTGTCCAAATTTCCTTCATGAGTTCAAACTTCTGTTCTAATCCTATTTAAGTCAGTCTTGCCTCTCTAAAAGTCCTTTCAGGTTGGCATTTTCCATGCCTAGTGAGTCTGTTTTGGATTTTCGTAAAGCATAATAGTGGCTACTTCTCTTATATCAGTGAAAAATATATGCTCCTTTTCATGTGATTTAAAAATAAACTTTCAAAAAAATAAAAAATGTGAATAATGCCAACTTCAAACTTGACTTGTTTCATTGTCCTAACAGAAGGAAATAAAATAGCTCAAGCTGAAATGAAGTGGTTGTGCGTTAAATATATGACTATACGAATATTACTTGGAAGTTTAGGTGACTTGCCAAAGGTCACACACAGAAATCTGTAGCAGAGAGAGAAAATTAACTTAACTCCTGAGTTGTCAGGTATTTCCCTGGTCTTTGGACCACTCTGTCTTGATTTCAAGTTCAAAGATTATTTCATGCAAAGATTATATAGCCAGGATGAATTTAGCTCAGTTTTATCACCGTGTTAATGTACTCTTATGGAATCTCCTACTAGTCTCAAGCATGAATTAAATAACACAAATATTAATAAACAAGTTTAGCGCCCTCCAAGCTGAGGAGTTGCTGGGCATGGCTCCAAGTGAGGCAACTGGCCTGGCAGACCCCGTGCCGTGCAGGAACCCCCGGAAGAAACGGCGAGTGATTGTTGTGGGTGACTCCCTGCTGCAGGGGACAGAGGCACCTATCTGCCGACCTGATCTCTTGTCCAGAGAGGTTTGCTGCCTGCCAGGGGCTCGAATAAGAGATGTCGTGGAAAGACTGCCAAGGCTTGTCCACGCGTCGGACTACTACCCTCTGCTGATCTTCCATGTGGGTGCTAATGACACGAAAGGCAAACTGGAAACCATCAAACGGGACTTCAGAGCTCTGGGAATGGTGGTGAAGGGTCTGGGAGCCCAGGTTGTTTTCTCCTCAATCTTGCCTGTGAGGGGAAAGGACAGGAGGAGGAGTAGACGAATTTTCCAAGTTAACAGCTGGCTGCGCCGCTGGTGTTGGCAACAG